ATTAGTTTATAGTGTAACTACCAACGTCTGATAAATTCTCGAAGTGTGAAGGTTAGCTCATATTGCTCCATTGTAACAAAGAAATCAATGAGGCCAGTGAAAGCTTAGTCCGGTTTTCTCATCCACTTTAGATCAGACTACGCATTGCTCAAGGGTAAGGGCATCGATACCGATGCTTGTCAACTTCCTTACAATATTCCGACAATATTCCGTCAACTTATGTAGGATAACGATCCCTTTGTGGTTTCAAATGTCAGATTCTTTTTAATTATGGAATGGCTAATCCTATAAAAAAACTGAAAGACCAATCTCAGTAATTTATAATTTAGTTAAAGCCCAAAAGATAAACGTATTATTTATGTTCTAAATATTTCTAGAACAGTTAGTCTAATTGCAAAATGTTAGTATTTGAAGTCTCTTCTTGCTTATTCATAAACATTCAAATTAATTGCAATGGCCTTATTTTAATTTGTTACTCTCTTAAAAGGATAGCAAGTCACAACCTTATAAGCCAGCCTTATTAACAGTGAGGGTAAATTACAGATAAGAGGCAATAAACTATATCAAAGACGGCAAGATCTCGAGTGATTGGTCTGGTATCTTATTGGACGAGACATCAGACGTAGCCTTCTTAAGTAAGCATTATTGTACGACAAACCCTTTCGCGTGGTCAGTGCATCTAATCACAGCTTCGCTAGCTAAAGGTTTTCGGTCCGCTCTGCATCTTGGAAGGATCAAGAGCGAACTGAAAAGTCTTAGGTAGAGAAAAGGATTTGAACACTATAAAGAGTCTTTGGAAAAAAATTCAAACTGTAATATCTTTACATGTTCATGTATTTTGTTCAGTCTGTTTTTGGTCGTCTAAGGACGACTGAGTGAGTGTGTGAGTGACTTTGTCTTCACGATGTCTCTGTATATATTTGAAGGGTTTAACTAAATGTTTGGGAGGAGTCTGCACTTGGTAAGGAGAATTTATCTAATTGAACCTGCGACCTATGGACATATGAATTCGTCATACTTCTGGTTGCTTATGCACTACGCGTATCATATATATAACAGATTTCTACATTTAAGCCTGTCATTCTAATCATCAATACTCCAATTAAATCTCCATTCCTCAACCTCCTCCCGCCCATACAAACCCTCCAAAAGGGACTTAGACAAAATGAGAAGGAATCATTGTGATACATGTATAGAGATGACCCCATAAAAAAACTCGAAGAAGCAAGATTTTTACCAGCTTTTAAAATTCCATGTCCATAAGATGAATCCATCTGGGATCATGAGAATCTATGTATGAAGAATATAATGTGTACTCGTAGCTGTAATCAAAGCCAAATGCCGTTTCGACATTAGCGTTTCTAATATACCTTATTTTCTAATCCCCTGTCACGTAACATTTTACAATTGCCTGACATTCTAATTAAGGAAAACTATACTTCTTACGTATTCCATTCCCACTTTCCAGAGCTTATATGTTTCTTTTTTGAGATTTTCATGTCCAAGTTGAATTCAATTATGTGCAGTAGACAGTATTTGGATAAGATTTCAATTATTTCATCTATATAATGAAATGTTATTAGGGCATGTTTCAAGAGGGTACTCAAAGAAAAACTCTGACAAATATTTGTTCAGTATGAATATGTCTTTTATAATTCAAGAAAAAAGGTGTTGTTTTCGCTCAAAAAAAAAACAAAAAAAAACCATGAGCACAATCCCAACATTTCGCACAAAAAATAATTTATTTATATGTTTCAATTTAACACTTTTGCGTGTATTTTCTATAATTTCATTGTATAGTCTTTATTTGGAATCCATTTGTAGTTGTGCATGTTCTGCATTATTAATCAATGTGGGGGCATGTTCTTCTCTATTTCTAACAGAACTATGTATTTATAACTTCATCGAATCGAACAAATTTCCAAAGACCTGATTTTTAAAAACATTTGTGGCTTATTTTATTTGTAGTGTCTTAGTGTTCAAGAGAAAATAAGAGTTTCAAGAAATTATAATCACCTACACCTATACATTTGCCATCGTGTCTTTTTATTCCTTTTTAGGATAAATCCCTCATGACTACATCCATAGATACCCAATAAAATACAGTAAATTGATTGAAAATCAAATAAACGTTTTTAAAAATTGAAATGAATAAAAAAAAATGATGCAAACCTTTGCCAGATGGTGTCTATTTCATCGTTAAATTTGAAAATCAGCTGTATTCTTTACATATAGGTAATTTCTTGAGCGTATATATCATGTCTATAAATATAAAGATAACATAATCCTAGAATATCTTGTCAAACTTACTCAGATATGCATACACAATTTTGAAAGTAGGTTTCTGAGTGAAGGAATTATGCCTTTTGATTTATTACAAAATGAAATAAAGTCTGCATCTGTTATTCATCAGAAACTATACAAATAAATAATACAGTCAAATGAATTATATTCCTATAAAAAATGAAGATTGCTATAAAGTAAATCAGTGAGGGTCGTATATAACTCTAAAACGGGCGAAGTATATTAAGATGATCTTTTCTTGTCAAACCGATATCTTGTTTTTTCCAATTCCTCTGCCATTATTTTCTCATTTTAGCAGACCCCTGTCTTCTTTCTCAGCATAAACCTGTCTACCAATGACGAAATCGCTCATAACAGATAGAATATACTCACCCCACTGCGCATGCCCCCTGCAGTATAGGTTCTCGGTAGACAGGTGCAATATATTACGAGCTAACATCAGTGTGGAAAGTTATGGTATAGATGCCGTTGCCCTGAAATGAAAGATGTAATGGGGAGAGGAAAATGAATGACAATGCTGTACTGTTAGGTCACGTATGTACTTCAATCAGTTGCATATTATACACCGAATACCAGACATGTCTCTTTATCATTATTTCCATTCACTGCCATCATGCTATTCATGTCGCAATTGAGGCAAAATAGCGGAAATGCTGACTACGTCAACTGCAGAGGAGTGAACCTGGCGTAAAGACTTATCAATTACTATTCATTGAAACTGAAATATTTACTATTATAGTACTTACAGTTTAGTTTTCTAGATCATCTTCATTGTTATACATCAAATCCGCTAAATGATAACCTCAATTTGTAGGACTCCAATATCTTCAAGTTCATCAATTAAAACGATCTAGAAGTCTGTTAAGTCAATGTCCGAGCGAGATACGATGTCCAGATCTGTTTATTACATTAGAGGTCTTGTGTGAAGTGCTGTCTGTCTGATATTCATAACGGTTTAATTATTATTGTAAAGCTCGTCAAGCCATTAAATGCTTGATATCTACGTAAAGGTTTACACCTTATATCTCAATACATTAATGTAAATGTCAAATTGGAGTAAAATCATGGAGAACTTGAAAACTTGCGTCTTTGCATTTTGATGATTCAAATAATTATAAGTTCGTGGATTCTCACTGCATCTTTTCTTCTATACATAGTACACGTATTTCGAACACTGTACAGTTTTGTTTTGAATATAAAGCATACCTATATCAAAGCTTAAATATGAATGATGATGATTAAAATACCCCCCTCAAAACGGAGGAAAGCTAAAATCTTGAATCGGAGAAGCTATACACTGTATATATTTAAAGCTCACCTATGCTTAGGTATTAAGCTACCATTACCACTTGAAGACTTACTTATCGTAGAGGGGATTGCAAAAACATTAGTTATAAACCTGTTTGATGTATTGTGTTTGGTCATTCTCGGATATATGATAGTTCTGTTATGTCAAATAATGAAAATTAAAGACATCCCTAGTTGATCTATCCAATTATTTTCTTTTACTGTTTATCTATGGAAAGCTAATTGGTAACGCGAACACTCGAACTATGTCGAAAACAGATATGGTTTTTGTCTACGTGCATAACTTAAGATGTCATTGTTCTTTTAATACGTTTGTTTTCAGAGATCAAATGCTGAGTTAATTGCCAAGCCAAATATAATCATTTTCTAAACAGACTTTTACATAACGAATATTTAAATAAAACAGTTGAATACATGAAAATACGGGGAACGTTTCTGCAATACAGTAAGATTTTACTTTTATTGAGTGAATAGTTTAAGGACTTTTCGTGGATCATAGAACTGCTAGTTCCAAAACATGTTGAGAGAAAAAAAAAGGATGAAAGAAAAAGTGTCCCCTAAATTATGTTGCAGTATTGGATTTTTAAAATTAATGCAATTTTAATTTAAGTAAGTTACATGAAATACGTGATTAGTTTTGAGGCAAAGTGGGAAAATATTCATTGTGCGCCAAACCTACCCTTGAGTACAGCTATTTTTATGGAAAAGCGGGCAAATATTCATTGTATGCTAACTTACCCGTGATCATGAGTAGTTTTGTGGCAAGCGAGCAAAAATATCATTTTTGGTAGTACATTTGCACCTAACTTACCCAGGAGCAGTTTTTTTTTTTTTGTGGCATAGAAGGCAAAATATTTTATTTCGGTTAGTACATGTGTACGCGTACTTAATTTACCCGTGAGTAGTTTTATGACTAAGAGGACGGAATATTTGACTTGGATAGTTCACGTAAACCTCCTTATGTTAAAATACAACAGAAATACATTCTAGGATGCATATTCCAAATGCAAATTGACATCAACTTCCAACGGATAAAAGAGAAATTAATTCAGACTGTGGCATCCTAGATAGCTTTTGAACCCATGTACAGACCCTGAGACGTGCTACTACCCCACACGCTCGCTGCACGAACGGTACACGAACGCTACACGGTTTGCACGAAACGCTGCACGGTTTACACGAAACGTTACAAGGTTTGCACGAAACGCTTTGCACGAAAGGCTGCACGGTTTACACGAAAGGCTGCACGAAACGCTTTGTACACGTTTCTCACACGCTTTGTGCACGATTCTCGCACGTTTTGGCCTCGGTTTGGATTTTTTACTCGGAAATCTCGGGCATTATTACCGTTTTATCATTAATTCAATGGAAATCTTTCACAAAGCCACATTAAGCAGCTGTTTAAGTTAAATATCAGTACACTAGTCTTATATAAACCGATAGAAATATTTAATACTCTGACAGTTGTAATTATTTAATAAATAATTTTCAGTTCGTATCTATTTATTTATTTATCCAACTGTTTAAAAACGAAATGCCGGTATAATGAATGACTGTTTAATAAAATAGAATTTTTATATACAGGTATTAGTCATTCATTTCAATGTAATGTTTTTACGAGCATAATTTAATAAATTAAACACAACTTCGATTTCTTTCTGCAGGAATATGAACTCATTGCTTTTAAATAATATTGATTATAATTGTGTTTGATTTCCGTAGGCGGATTATTTTTCGTGATCATTTTGATTTTAAATTAGTAATAAAATTTGCCTATATACTCTCCTAACGATTATTGATACATTTTTAAAGATTTTTTTTTATTTTACGCAAGCATTATCGATAGGAGGGAAACCGGTAAGGGGGGGGGGTTAATGTGATCTATTAATCTATTCTATTTTCTTTTTAAATGAAACTTATCAAATAACATCAGTATACCCATCATACTGTAAAATCCTTCATTTCAAAACAAGACTAAACGTATGTATATATGTGTACATTTATTAATACTAGCAGTCGCGGCATTTGACTATACATTGTACATACAATATTGATCGATCTTTACACCGGCATTCAGGTATATTACAATAAAACTGAAATATATGAGATGAAATAAAAAGTACGTGATATATAAAACAAATAATATACAATAATTCATGATTTACTCCTAAGGTTTTCTTACATGATATTCATGAAAAGACTACCAAATCAGTTCTGCTTATTTTACTGTTTAAACGGCTAGAAATTCGAATTTACGAATAAAAGATGAAATCCGCTGATTTATAAGTTGTACCCATACATATTTATAGAACCATTTTATTTAAAAAGAAATAAAATCCAGTCGTAATTTTCAGGTGTCATTAAGCCGTGAACTCAACATGTACATATAGCAAAACAGGTTTTCAGTTGCCATGCACTCGGAGCCGGTGATCGCTGTTGTAAATGACCTTGATCACAGTTGAAAGGCAGAAAGAAGATTCCAATACATTTTTAAGGGGTGTATCTGTGCACGCATTTTCAAAGGGATTTAAAAAAGAATAGAAAATTACGCATTTATTTAAACTAACATTAGATTAAAAGTTACAACAAAAAATGAAAGACTCTACGAGTAATTTAATTTACCCCCCCCCCCTTCCTCGTTTATAAAGATGTGGTCGTCAGTGCATGTGAATTATAATTATAAAATCCATTTATTTAGCAATAATGAGCAACATATTTTATGTATTGAGAAGTATTAAATGACACATCGTTTCAAAACTTTCTTTCACGTACTTTAAATGTAGTCCTGATATATTTTTGCTTTAAATTAAAAAAATAATACCGCTATTTCTTTCTTTCTTTGAGAAAAAATATTTACGAAGCCATGATCGCGTTGATAGTATATTGAATTCATAGCCCTTAAAATTGTTGTAAATAGTTGATTAATTTGAACACATTTTCTATAGAAAGATATCAAACAAATATAAATTATACAATACCATAATCATTTTGTTGATTTTTTTTGTCAATTCACAAGCATAACTAATTCAATAATAAAATACAAAGTTAAATATATATATGCGAATGATCTACATTATATTTTCACACGGTTCTTACACGAAAGTCGCACGTTTCTCACATTTCGCACGCTCGCTACACGGTTTGCACGAAACGCTTTGGAGCTCACACGAAACGCTGCACGGTTTACACGAAACGCTACACGGTTTTCACGAAACGCTGCACGGTTTACACGAAACGCTACACGGTTTGCACGAAACGGAAAGCGCACGAAAGTCACACGCTTTTTTGGGGTAGTAGCACGTCTCAGGGTCTGTACATTAAAAATATAGGCAGTATAGGCAGTATTAATAAACTCTTGAATATTATTTTTTCGTTGCAGATCCTTTATAGAGTTAAATTTACTTTCTTCTTTTTTGCAAACTGCATGTTTATTTTAACGGAAAATGGTTAAGCCAGGTAAACAGTGGTTCTCAAAAAGATTTGTTTACAGAGATAACGGCCAAAAGCCGTCTTAGCCAATATAAAGCTGACAATCCTGGGTCGGTTATTTCAAGGTTGTAGTCTCATAAAGAGAAATTTGATTATATACGAAAACTGAAAAATAAGATTTTATCTACCACCTATATATTCACACATAGGATGTGGGTGTGGTTCTGATATAGGCATTGTACGTCAGGGCGACCTATTCCTTATTGTTCGTATTCTCTTTTTATCAATCGGCGACAATCAGAAATGACAAGCAGAACTACCTGTTTTTTTTTCTTTACCAAATTCATAAATCAAGCACCTGGTTACTGAATGCATAAAACCCCATATCTTTTGAATGTCGATTTCATTTTGCAAAACACAAGCTAACTATGTATAGTCTACATATTTTTTTCTTGGAATAAATTTTTCTTTGGCAAAAGCATGAAGGAACAGATGACAAGTAAATTAAGGTAAGAGGTATATCACAACTGATTGAGTCACGTGATCAAATGTGTATTCTTCTCATTTATATAGACGATGACAAACGATTCGTTTCCCTCATACTTGGCTGTAGACAGAAAAAGAGGTATGAAGTATTGTGTAGTGAAACCTTCTATGTTCGTTTTGTATACGTAACATTTCATAAGAAAACAATCTAGTAATTAACAAAAAGCCTTTGATCTTTATGTACGCTGTTTATATACCACACAGCACCTTTTGCAGATAACCACGACTGACAAAGATTGACCACGATATTACCTGACCTACCTAACTCTTACCGCTAAGTTCCTTTCTTCCTAGAAACCATTGTGTCAACATGTCTGTCACAATTATGTATTGAGTCATGAACCATTTCTGTTGAGTCCATTGATATAGAAAAACTTCTGAAGTTCCGTAAAGTGGCCAATCAAATTACCATGTATTATTAATTACTGGCGCACTTTTATGCTCAACCACCATAGAGGACTGGTCAATATTATGTGTGTTGTACGAGTCAAAATATTTAATTGTCAATCCATTAATCTAATTGTTCACTACTATCTACAAATCCTTGGTATTTTTGTCCAGTTTGTGATAAAGACTTATTCACTACGTCCATGCTCGAGAAGAAAATATCTATACACTTCATTTATGTTTCTTATCAGGAAGTTTTAATATCACATAATCCCAGATCGACAATTGAAGAAAAATCATTTCATCTGGATTTGCAGAGTGAAAGTTTTATCATTTCTAAAATGAATGCATTAGTTTTAAAATTGTATGCTTTTAACGTTGTCTCAGCTCTAGAAAAGACCTGTAATTGC